ATCGAAGGGAATCGATACCCTAAATGGTCTTCAGGAATTCTGGGGCGAGGGGAGGGGGCAGAAATTTGTACACGAGTGTCGGGAGGTTGAGGGCTTCAGCGATGTAGGATTCGGGGTTTGGGGGGGTTTCGGGGCTTAAGTCCCTATACCTAAGTAGCCCCGAAGTACCCCGAAATAAACCCCCAAGGCCCCTTATAAGGGAGTAGTCCCCTTGAGGGGCCTTGTGTTTTGGAGCGTGTCATTCGTTGCTGGGTTGAAGGCGTTCGTTGCGATCCCTCAGCCGCTTCAGCCCCATGCCCCAATCCTCAATCCTCAATCCTAATCCTCAAGCCTCAATCCTCAAGCCTCAATCCTCAATCCTCAAGCCTCAATCCTCAATCCTCAATCCTAAGCCCCCGTAAACCTTAACCCTAAGCCCTAAACCCTTAGCCCGAAACCCGAGAGCCCGAGCGCCCTCGAGCCCCCACTCATGGGCACGCGAGCCCGACACCCTGCCAGGCCCAAGCGGAGGTCGGAGCCGGCTAGAACCGGTGTGCCCGAAATGAGGCATCTTTGGGGTGGGTTGAGGGTTTAGGGTTTAGGGTTTGGGGTTTAGGGTTTAGGGTTTAGGGTTTAGGGTTTAGTGCTTAGGTTTTTTTTTTTTTCGGGTGCAGGGAGGGTTTGCGGCTTAGGCTACTACCGAGGACCCAGAGTAGGCCCTTGTTCCCTTCCTTTAGGCTTGGGTTCCCCTTATAAGGCCCCTTTAAACCAAAAGAAGGCACCCTTTGTATTCCTAAGCCACTCCTTGTCTAGACTATGCTTAGGGTAGATAGCACCGCCGAATCGAAGGATTCGACTGCTCTGCGCTCCCTTCAATTTGCAGCAGGTGTACTGGAGATCTTGAGTTGCAGTCATGTCGGCGAGTTTTCGGATGTGAGCGCCAAGGTAGGGTTTGGGGGTTAGGCTTAGGGCTTCAGGGTTTCAGGGTTTCAGGGTTTCAGGGTTTCAGGGTTTCAGGGTTTCAGGGTTTCAGGGTTTCAGGGTTTCAGGGTTTCAGGGTTTCAGGGTTTAGGGTTTAGGGTTTAGGGTTTAGGGTTTAGGGTTTAGGGTGTGCAAGCAGCAGCCTTTCTTCTCAAGAAGCGCGAGTGATGAGGCGCAGTTGAGGATCTGTAATTCGTCCACTTACAAGTGGACTCTTAATCTCTGTTGGCCTCAGCCTGTAACCCTACACCCTAAACCCTAAACCCGAAACCCTAAACCTAAACCCTGAACCCTGAACCCTGAACCCTGAACCCTGAACCCTGAGAACCCTGAACCCTGAGAACCCTGAACCCTGAGCCCTAAACCTGATGGCCGCCCACAAGAGGAAAAGGGAGAGCGATGGGAAGGCTCTGACTCAAGCCGAGCCATTGGTGATAAAGGATGACCTGGCTTGCGTGTCGGAGGTTTGGAAGGCCTGCTTTGGCAAGGACGGCAACTTCACCGTGGTCGTGGAGGAGGCGTCTCCCGCCTCCCTCGCCTCCCCTCCTCCGCCTTCACCCCCACCTGTCCCTGGCCCTCCCTCGCCCTCAGATGCGCCGCGCCTGGAGTCTGTCGCGTCGAGTGGGTGTGAGGCGAAGCGTTGGGACCTCGGAAAACCGGTCCCCCCTTCCCCGGTTTCCCCCGACCTGGAGCTCGCTGGGTATGAGGTGAAGCGCACCGAGTTCAAGGTCTGGGCCTCCCTGCTGGCGCAGCGGTCGCCCGTCCTTGAGACGATGATCTGCTCCGATGGCTTCGAGGAAGGTAGAACAGCCCAGCTTGTGATCCGAGACTTCTCAGCCGCAGCTGTGGAGAACTTCCTGTGCTTCCTGTACTCCGGGCTTGTGAAGGGCACGCCGGGCATGCTGGTGGAGCTGCTGGCGATGGCGGACAAGTACCAAGTTGAGAAGCTGCGCGAGCTTTGCTTGCAAGCTGTCACAAAGGCTCTCCAGCCCGAAGTGGCATGTGAGATTTTTGCTGCATCGGACCACTTTCACATGCCTAGCTTGCGCACGAGGGCCTGCGATCTGATCTTGATCCATCCGGAGAAAGCCTTGAAGACGCGGCCAGAGATGAAGGCAGAGCTGCTGGAGGAGATCTTAGGAACAGGTGTGCTATGCATTGAGGAGGCAAGTTTGCGCAGGCTGCTCGAAGACTGGCGCCAGCAATCACCCTGTTGGGAGGCCGACGCCCTGCGCTCCGTCGTAGAAACCCGGATACGTTCCTCCCGTGCACGTGAGGTTGGTGTGCACAGCAGCGACGTGCTGGCAACCCTCTGGACAACTCACGGCCAGCCGCGGCCGGCGTCAGGAGGGTACCCATATCGCCCCCTTGAGCCCCAATCGCCATGCTTTCTAGGCTACTGGGTGGTTGTCATCCTGGGGCCGAAGCAGCAAGGTGTCGGCAAGGGAGATGCGAATGTCCTGCAGAGAATCGCTGCAAACCAGGACCATCTAGCTCTTGGAGAAGGCTGGGTAAGTTGGATGCTCCCGCATTCGCACGTCTACCTCATGGGCTTCTCTTTGGGTGGCACCAGCAGCGCGGCATCCTTCGAAGTCCTGTGCTCTGAAGATGGCGCGACCTGGCACGTCGCCTTCAAATCGTGCAAGGAGGCTTTCCCGATGACGGACAAGATGGTTACCATCAGCAGGCCGCCATTCCTCGTGAAGTGGTTTAAGCTGCATGTCTTGCAGGGGACCCTGCATGCCCGCTTCAACATCCATGGAATCTGGCAGAAGGGCTGAGACGCGCCTGCCAGGTTGCTCGGTCCCGGTGCGGAGGCAAGAACGAGATCACAGGATCTTGGTTTGGGGTGCTTAGGGGTTTAGGGTGCTCTGGGGTTTGGGGTGCTTAGGGGTTTAGGGGTTTAGGGTTTAGGGTTTAGGGTTTAGGGTTTAGGGATTTAGGGTTTAGGGTTTAGGGGCCCTGTTAACCCGGACCTCAACGCCGAGCCTAGCGAGCAGCGACTGCTGCCTCCTCCTGCAGTGCTTCAGAGGTTGAGGCGTTTGAGTCGCATTCTGTGGAGAAGCAAGCAGTCGGCCCCCTTGAGCCCCTAGACCCTAACAGAAATCCCTCTACATGAGCCGCACCCCCCCGCCCCCCCCTTGGTTCATGGTCTGTGCTTCATGGGTTTAGGGGTTGTAGAGTTCAGGATTTTCACTCTGACCCTCTTGGTCCATTGGTTACTCTGGGTTTAGAGTTTAATTAGGGTTCAAGGTTTGTGTAATGGTAGGTTTACGGTGTCCCCTCTCCCCCCTGTGGTTCGTGCTGGATTTACGGTTCAGGGTTCAGGGTTAGAATGGCTAAGGTTTCGGGTTTACCCTTCTCCCCCCTGTGGTTCATTGGTGGGTTTAGGTTTTAGGGCTTAGGGTTCAGGGTTTGGGGTTTAGGTTGAGGGTTTCTCTCTCCCCCCCCTGTGGTCCGTGGTGTCTCAAGGGTTAACGGGCAGGCTTTGGGGGGATACCATGGGGGGGGGGGGGGGGGATACCTTTGGGGGGGATGGGGTCGACTACGCGGAATGCGGGCACATATGACCCCTTTAGGGTTTAGGGTTTAGGGTTTAGGGTTTAGGGTTTAGGGTTTAGGGTTTGGGGTTTTAGGGTTTAGGGTTTAGGGTTTAGGGTTTAGGGTTTAGGGTTTAGGGTTTAGGGTTTAGGGGAAAACCTGAACCTCCAACCCGAAATTCAACCCCAAAATCCCAAACCACAAGCCCCAAAACCCTCGATCCCAAAGCGGATCTCAGCAGGCACCAGGAGAGCTGGGAATATCCTCTGAGTCGCGAGGTGTGCGGGGCTTTGGGGCTTAGTGTTTCTTAAGGTTTAGGGTTATGGGGTCTAGGGGTTGAGGGGTTTTGGGGTTTAGGGTTTTGGGCTGTAGGGTTTCGGGTTCGGGGTTGGGGTTTTGGGGCTTTAGGGGTTTCCGGGGCTATCTAGGGTGCGGGGTTTAGTTTTGTTGTCTTGGGGCTTAGGGTTTGTAGGGTGTAGGGCCTCACCCGAAACCCTAAGCCCTAACCCCTAACTCCTAAACCCTAAACCCTCTGCTGGATTTGGTACACGCTTGTTTCTTGTCCTTGTGTTGCAGGCGGGCGGGGAAGGGGGGTTATTCCCAACTCCTGCACGCGCCCCACCCCTGAACCCTTTGGCCCTATATCGTTACAACCGTAAAACCCTATAACCCTAGAACCCTAGAACCCTACAACCCTATAGCCCAATAACCCATGACCCTATATCCCCCTATACCCCTCAACCTCAAGCCCCAGCCGGATCCAAAAGCAATGAGAGCCCTAATTCTCCTAAATCTCCAAGCCCTCCTCATCCCTAACCCCTACACCCTGAACCCCAAACCCTGAACCCTAAGCCCTAAACCCTAAACCCTAAACCGAAAACCGTGAACCTTAAGGGTCACCTAAACCTCCTATACCCTGCACCCGGTTACGATGCTCAGGGTTCCGGGGTTTAGGGGTTTAGGGTTTGGGGTTTAGGGTTTAGGGTTTAGGGTTTAGGGTTTAGGGCTAGGTCCCAATCCTTAAGCCCGAAGCCCTTTGTGCGAAGTTGCTGCTGGCCAGGAGAAGAAGCATCGAGTGATGTGCCTCTTTGAGCAAGAGCTAGCCGAGGCGGGCCCTCCCTTAACCCTAAACCCTAAACCCTAAACCCTGAACCCTAAAACCTAAACCTCAAGCTGTCCCAAGCGAGCCAGCTACCCAAACCCTAAACTCCTAAACCCCTAAACCCTTAATCCCTAAAACCCTAAACCCTAAACCCTAAGCTGTAAACCCTAAACCCTAAACCCTAAACCCTAAACCCTAGACCCTAAACCCTAAGCAGTAAACCCTAAACCCTAAACCCTAAACCCTAAACCCTAAACCCTAAACCCTAAACCCTAAACCCTAAACCCTAAACCCTAAACCCTAAACCCTAAACCCTAAACCCTAAACCCTAAACCCTAAACCCTAAACCCTAAACCTTTCAGAGGCTCGGCGCTCAGGGGAGGAGCTCGTCCTCGAGGACGCCGAGACAAGCCTGAGGTTTAGGGGTGTTGGGGCTTTGGGGTTTAGGGTTTAGGGTTTAGAGTTCAGACCCTTGCTAAACCCTAATCCCCTAAACCCTCAGCCCAGTCTAGGGTTTGGGGGCTTCGAGTGTATCAAGAGCGAAGCATCAGTTTCGGGTATTGCCCTCTTTTCTCGGCACCGTTGAGCTGGTGGCTCTGCAAGAGGGTTCAGGTTTTGGGTTTTGGGTTTAGGGTTTGGGGTGTAGGGGTTTAGGATTTAGGGCTTGCGGTTGTTCAGGGTTTATGTTTAGGTATGTTTAGGAGTTGGGGGATTGTGGCTTAGGGTTGATGGGTTTAGGGTTTAGGCTTGGGGTTTGAGGGTTCAGGGTTTAGTGTTGTTGAGGATCTAGTCAGCTCCCTACACCCTCCCACCTCATGTGTGTGTGAGGCTGTCTGCATCCCCAAGACAGTCCCTGATTCCTAAACCTTAACTCCTATGACCCATGACCCTAAACCCTAAACCCTAAACCCTAAACCCTAAACCCTAAACCCTAAACCCTAAACCCTAAACCCTAAACCCTAAACCCTAAACCCTAAACCCTAAACCCTAAACCCTAAACCCTAAACCCTAAACCCCCCAACGCCCGCGACGCGCTGTGGCTCAGCTTCGAGGGCGCACCTCGACATAGGATGCCAGGCCCGTGGCTTAGGGTTTAAGGGGTTTAGGACTGTCATGCTTCAGGGGAAAAGACCTAGCCCTAAACCCTAAACCCTAAACCCTAAACCCTAAACCCTAAACCCTAAACCCTAAACCCTGAACCCTGAACCCTAAACCCGAAACCGTAAACCCTAAACCCTAAACCCTAAGCCCGGAACTCACTCCCCAAAAAAGGTTCAGGGTTTTCCGGATTTAGGGGTAAAATTAGAGTTCAAGAACAAAAGCCTTAAACCCTAAAGCCCAAAACCTAAGCCCCTTCTACGCCCGAAGCAAGCGCAGCTCTACACGCAACTGCTAGCCCTCACACCCAGCTTCATCTCCTGCCTCTTGAGGGTTTTCATGTGGCCCAGGGCTTATAAGGGCTTAGGGTTTAGGGTTTAGGGTTTCGGGTTTAGGGTTTAGGTTTTTATCTTTAGCTGCTGCCGTGCCCATGGCCGCTGACAACCACTTCGATGCAGAGTGGGATCCAGAGATGGAGGCCTGGAAGGGTTTGGGGGGTTTAGGGTTTAGGGTTTAGGGTTTAGGGTTTAGGTTTTAGGTTTCACGGTTTAGGGTTTAGGGTTTAGGGTTGTTTTGGTTTCCAGATGCAGAATTTCGCATTTAGGGGTTCTGAGTTTGGAGTTTAAGTGCTCAGTCGGTCGCTAGCACGTTCTGTTCTTGTGGGGTTCAGGGTTTAGGGTTCAGGGTTTTAGGGTTTAGGGGGAAGGTATCTAAAAAGGCCCCGCAAATCGGGCTTCGCGGAGCCAAAAACCTTTGGGAAGACCCTTAAGCCCTAGAAACCTAAACCCTAAACCTTAAACCTAAACCCTAAACCCTAAAACCCTAAAATCCTAAAACCCAAAATCCCCCAACCCCTACACCCTAAATCCTAAGCCCTCAGCCCTCTGCGGGAAGGGTCCCAAGATGCCTCAGGGGGCGAGAGGACCCTGGACCCTAAACCCTAAACTCCGAGGTTTTTGGAGCTCTGAAGGCTTAGGGTTTAGGGTTTAGGGTTTAGGGTTTAGGGTTTAGGGTTTAGGAACCTCATTACCTTCCAAGCTCCTGAGAACGGTTTTCCCAGTGTTGAAGACTTTTGAAGAGTAGTCTTGGGCGCCACGCTGCGCTGGCGAACCCTATTCCTAAAGCCCTAAACCCGACATCCTGGTGTCTCGTGAGGCGGCCATTGCCGCTTCTCAAGGCCCCCGGCGCCGTGCGCGATGCCATGTGTGCGTAGGGTTTCAGGGTTCAGGGTTTTGGGGTTTTGGGGTTTGGGGTTCAGGGTTTGGGTTGTTGGGGCTTTGGGTTTAGGGCTTTTGGGGTGTTTGGGTTTGAGGTGCAGGGTCGAATACAGGAGCCAAAGTTTACCAATATTATTGCTTCATAATGCCTATGTACAGTACGTGTCATGTTAGCTACCCAAAGTACCCGGCAACGGAAGCAAGCTCTTTGGTAAGGAGGTGGTGAGATGTTCGGGTAGAGGATCTTACTTCAGCCTCCAAGGATAAAGTTATAGGCCCAGACCCGTAAACCGGCCCTCCAAAACTCTGAACCCTAAACCCTGAACCCTAAACCCTAAACCCTAAAACCCTAAACCCCAAAACCCTAAAACCCTGAAACCCTGAACCCCAACACCCTTAAAGCAAAAAGTCGAACCCCACAGCCCAAAACCCCAAAGCCCCCAAGCCCCCAAAACACCAAAGCCTTGGCCCCCTCAACCCTAAGCCCTTAACGGTAAACCCTAAACCCTAAACCCGAAACCCTAAACCCCAAACCCCAGACCCAGCCGCGCTCAGTTGCTCAGACTCAGAGATAGCGCCGAGTAAACACCCTAAACCCTAAACCCTAAACCCTAAACCCTAAACCCTAAACCCTAAACCCTAAACCCTAAACCCTAAACCCTAAACCCTAAACCCTAAACCCTAAACCTAACCCTAAACCCTAAACCCTAAACCCTAAACCCTAAACCCTAAACCCTAAACCCTAAACCCTAAACCCTAAACCCTAAACCCTAAACCCTAAACCCAGGCGACGCCGAGCTCGAGATGGCGCTGAGGGCCTCGCGCATGGACTTTGCGAGGCGCTTGCGCCCCAAAAAAACCCCAAAGCCCGGATTAGGGTTTAGGGTTTAGGGTTTAGGGTTTGGGGTTTGGGGTTTAGGGTTTAGGGTCCCCCGCAACCCCCCTCAAAATGCCGGCGCCCCAGGGAGCAGGAAGATGAGGCGCTGCAGCGAGCGCTGGAGGCCTCGATGCCTGGCGCCCAGCAGAGAAACAGGAGGTTTAGGGTTTAGGGTTTAGGGTTTAGGGTTTAGGGTTTAGGGTTTAGGGTTTAGGGTTTAGGGCTTAGGGTTTAGGGTTTAGGGTTTAGGGCTTAACCCTAAACCCTAAACCTTAAATCCATATTCTGGTTCACCCCACAAATCTAGGACCCAGGCCTGGGCCCTGATTCACTTTTAGGGCTTCAGTTCTCTTTCAACCCTAAACCCTACAAACCCCCTGAGCCCCTTCAAAAACAACAGCCCGAATCCCTTGCTATTCCTGGGTGACTCACACTAAACCCTAAACCCTAAACCCCAAACCCTAAACCCTAAACCCTAAACCCCAAACCCTAAACCCTAAAGCCTAAACCCTAAACCCTAAACCCCAAACCCTAAACCCTAAACCCTAAACCCCAAACACTGGGCCCCAAGAGGTTCGAGGCGCCTCCTGCGCGCCGGGGGTCGATCCCCGACACGGAGATCCGAAGTGCGCTGCGCCTGTCCGAGGAGGTCTCCAGCTCGGGTTTAGGGTTTAGGGTTTAGGGTTTTTAGTGTTTAGGGTTTAGGGTTTAGGGTTTGGGGTTTAGGGTATAAGGTTTCGGGTTTAGGGGACAGGGTTTTGTGTTCATGGGGCTTGTGCCGTTTGCAGGGGGTTTGCAGGGTTTACTGATGGGTTTGCAGCATTCCTAGGGTTTTGCAGGGTTTGCTTGGGTTCATAGGGTGCTTTGCGGGGGTTTAGCTCAAAGTTCAGAGGGCCTAGGAGGGTGAGCCCTGGTCCTAAGTGCATCGGTTTAAGGTTTAGGGTTTAGGGTTTAGGGTTTAGGTTTTCGGGTTCGACTCGATCGGTTCATGTGCAGGGTTCAGAGTTTAGCGCTCTTGTGGTTTGGGGCTTAGAGCTTTAAGTCTTGTGACTGAGGTCGTGCGGGCTTTTTGGGGTTGGCTATCGCAGGTTTAGAGATATTCCTTATCACTTTGGGTCTTGGACTTTTAGGGGGGGTATTTGTTTGGCGAGGGAGGTGTGGACCCTCTCGGAGACTTTTGTTTCTTGCGAGCTTCTAACAGGCCATTGTGTGTGTGTGTGTGTGTGTGTGTCTCTCTCTCTCTCTCTCTCTGTCTGTGCGTGCCGATGGAAGGGGGTCGAGGGTGTAGGGTATTTAGGTTTAAACCCTAAACCCTAAACCCTCAACCCTCAACCCTCAACCCTCAACCCTGAACCCTAAACCTCTCTACCATTGCAACCCTAAATTTTAAACACGAATTAGGATCCATTTTGGCCCCTCTGACCCCTTTGACCCCCCCACTGTTCAGCACGAATTAGGCAATTTGATCCATTTTGGCACCCCTTTGACCCCCCTATTGTTCAGCACGAATTAGGCAATTTGATCCATTTTGGGACCCCTTTGACCCCCCCATTGTTCAGCACCCTGCAGCTCAGCAGAGCCACGAAGCCAGCAGGGCACAGGACTGACTCAGGACCCAGGGTTCTTGGATGGACTAACTTGAGGTCTGTATGATTGTTTGGCCTTTTGGTGCGTCTGAAAAGAAAATAATGAACTATCTGTTTTCGTATTGGTATGGGATTCTTTGGGCGGGGCGGTTTTTGTCCGTGCCTAGACACACTGCTGGCCTAGTAAATGCTCGAACTTGAGATGCTGAACCCTAAACCCTAAACCCTAAACCCTAAACCCTAAACCCTAAACCCGAAACCCTAAACCTTAAACCTTAAACCCTAAACCCTAAACCCTAAACCCTAATGCCAAACCCAATTTCTGACACTTTGGCCCCAATTTGGGAGGCGCACGTGAAGGACCAGAAGCGGTCGGAGCTCCTCCGGAAGCAGGACCGCCATCAGGGGTTTAGGGTTTAGGGTTTAGGGTTTAGGGTTGAGGTTTTAGATGGGTTTAGAGAGGTTTACTGCTCAGTAAGGAGTAACGGGAGGGACCCCCAGAAGGGACCCTTAACCGTATTCCCCTATACAACCTCCATATATACCTTAACCTAAGTGGCCCCTAAGTAACCCCTAAGGTCCCTTATAAGGGTCCCCTCCTTTAGTTCCATGAGTTCAG